TTTTGATGAAGGGAGAAACTAAATTTTATATTCTCTACTCGGGTTATTCGATGAAGGATTAATAGTGTGTATGTTTTAGAATTTATGGTTTAGGGTTTAAGGTGAGGTTGGTTTAAACAAAATTGAACCATACTCATGCACAATTCATATCAGAATTGTATATTGTTCTTATATTTCACTTACTTTCACTTCATAGATGGGGTTTCATAAGGGTGTAAGTTTGGCCATTGGTTGTGCCAAGACTTAATCGGATCGGCCGATGTAGTTCATCAATGTGCTTAATTACCCATTTCTTACTTTCTCAAAACCTAGTTATAATGGTGACTTATTTCGTTTACATTTAGTTCATGGAATTGAGATTGGAACTTTGATATCAACTCAAATTCGATTTTTTTTCATGAATCAAACGATCTCAGCTGTTAAAGGATTGTTATTATTTCTTGAGGTCTCGGGTCTCAGCATCGCGTAAGTAAAGATATGAACGTTTATTGACAAATGTTGAGTATTTGATCATATATTATATTATCAAAAAGTGTTTGAATTTTTTTAATCAAACTTAAATAGCGAATGTGAACATTTGATTGGTGGAGTAAAGACTAAATAGGTTATCACATTATTGAGAAAAAAAAGGAAAATAATAATAATAATAATAATGATAATAATGGGTCAATTTCTTTCCTATTTTCTGCTACCTAGATTCCTACTTGCAGCCTCCCATTGGTTTGGCAAAGGCCATTTAAGCATGATTTATCGATTTACTGGTTCAACTGGTTGAATATGTTCGATCGGTCGAAAGAATCGGACGACATCATAATTATTTAAAAAATTAAATAAAAATACCAAAAATATTTAATAATTTTTTTTATATCACAAGTCATATTCAAAGCAAGTCATAACATATATAAATTAAAAACCATAAAATCAAGTGAAACAAAATGATTCAAATTAACTACAACATAATATTTAAGGTAAAACATATTAAATAAAAATATAATTATATAACTATAATTAAAAAATAAATTTGGGGCTAAAAAATCATAACAAAATGATATTGTTTGGTTTAATTTTTTTTTAAAAAACAATCTCACATGTCTAAGAAACATAGAAGAGCATCCTAAAAGTCTAAAGAGTAAAAATATGAGAACAAAACAATCTCACATTGCTAAGAAACATAGAAGAGCATCTCAACTAACTTCTATAAATAATAGAGTTAATTTGACATTCAAAATCATGGAGTCTTTTGGTGAGCATTGAGTGAACTATTCTTTCACTTCAATCAAGCTAGAATTTTAGGCTTCAATTGAGCTTCTAATTTTTTTTTTAGTTCAAGCCTTTTTGAGTTCTAGTTTTAATATTATATTTCGAGTTCGAGTTGAACTTGATAATTTTTAACTTGTGAGTTTGAGTGGAGTTGAGCTTACTTTTAAAGTTTTCAAGTTCGAGTCGAGCTCAGTAATACTCGAGTTCGACTTGGCTCGTTTAACAAATGACGTTTAGTTTAATTTTTTTTTAAAAAAAAACAAAATTTCTGGTTTTTTCCGGTTTTTAGCCGGTCTGGTTCGAACGGTTCAGTGGTTCTGGTCGGTTCACTAGTAATGATTCAACCGGTTTAGATTAAATCGAACTAGGCAACAATTTTCGGTTGAACCGACCGATCCGATCCGACTTTTAAAACAGAGCATTTAAGGTTTGAAAGGCCAGTTCAAGAGCACCTAAGTTGTGTTTTTATAATTAAATTATACTTGAATGATTATCATAATTATAAACTTTTTATTAATAATTTTTTAAAAAAATAAAATTATTAAATAATTATTAATTTTATCGAAATACTGTAATATAATCTTTATAACCTTATAATAGATGTAAAAAGTTGAAACTTTAGTGATCGTTTTATAATAATTTATTAAAATTTAATGATTATTTTATAACAGATAAATAAAATTTAATTATTATTTTATAGTAATTTAATAAATTTAATTACTATTATAATATCTTTGGATCCAAATATACAAACCATATAAAAATTCTTCCTTCCGCTATGATCATCTCTAAAAAAAAATCACAAAGGAAATCTTCCGTTCGATAGTCTTTGACAAGACTCTTAATAAATTCAAAAAAATTATATATGATCCAAATATATTGAATACCAAGTATTCACACATTTGTTAGTCTATAGATAATAATCATAACCTTAAGCTTAACAAAATCATGCACATGAACTCACTATATAAATAGTGTGCTAAGGCCATCTCAAGGCCTTATCTCAACTCTAGAGTATCTCTATCTCTATTCTAGAGATAAAACAGTAATTTATCTCCAGCGTTATCTCTACATTACAATTAACTTTACTTTATTCACAATATTTAACTATTATAATATTAATTTTGTAAATTAAAAAAAATCAGAAAAATTACAAAAAAATCAAAAAAATTACAAAAAAATCAAAAAAATTACAAAAAAATTAGTATGATTATTTATCTAATTTTAATGTATTTTTATCTATCTTATAATTTAATTAAAAATCAGGAAAAAAAGATTTTTTGTAGCGTTGATACAGTAGCACGCTACATGTAGCGTTGTTGTTTAGTGAAACTCCAAAGTGGAGTTGAGTTTGGCGCAGCGCTGGAGTGCTCTACTGTAGCGATATACGCCACAGTAGAGCAGCGTTGGAGATGCTCTAAGCAGGAGGAAGGACTTCCTCCCGACACTTCTCATAAATACTCTCCCTAACAACTCTTCTTCGACTAATTTTCGTTACTTCAAATATTCATCGATTAACAATATATCTTTTATCGATTATAATTTTTTATATAAACTAAAAAGATAGATCGTCATGACTAACATATTCATTTTATTTCTATCAATGATTATTTTATAAAATTTAAAAAATTATTTTAACATGATTCTCATTTATTTTTTATATTAGAAAATTGTAAGTTTAATAGATAATAAAAACCCTTGGAAATGAAGGTGAATTAGCGCCGACAACGAGAGTAGGAGATCATTTTATTATAAAGCATTCAGACTGGGAACTCTCTCACATAAATCTAATGCTTTGGTTTGTGGAAACTCTTGATCAAAGTTCCAATGCGTTGAATTAAAAAAAGGACAAAACTGAAATAAAATAAAAGGGATGAGATGAGATCAGACAATTGCATGCAAATTAATTTGGAACTCGGCCTTGAAGACACGTATTGAATTTCAGATTGGATCAACAGAGACCATGCAATTTAAAATCGGTGACTGTTTTATGAACAAATACATTCGAAAATGGTAAAAAATTATTTTTATCGTTTTAAAATTAATAATAAAATTATATCTAGACCCTTTAAAAGTTTTCGATTCAAATTTCATTTTTAAAATGAATTTTTTATGGGTTACCCTTGACGTTAGTCGATAATTATTATAAATTTGTGTAAATATGATCAGAATTAATAATACAATATATATATATATATATATGAATTAATTAATAATTATATATAATCAATAAATTTAAAAAAAGATAAACTACAATAAAACTTAAACGGAATTAAAAATCTACATATAATACTCAACTATGAAAAATTTTACATATGAGATTTCAAATTAAAAAAAATCGATTTTACTAATAAATATAGTTTCAGTGATAATAAAACATAATTTGTTTATTTTTTAAAATTATAAATAACTACATATCCTCAAAATCTTTAAAAGATAATATTTCTTTTACCCCTAAATTAATTGGTTATTGTCCATACTTTGAATTATGCTTAAAAATGGTCAAAATAAATAAGCTAACCCTTGAGGCAGAATTAAATTTTTCTTCGCGTTTAGCGCATGGAAATAAGTAATTATAGGATTTTGACCCAGTAGAATACGAGATAGATACTGCGTGCTACGGATATTTAAATCTTTCTAGTATAATCATCGATTAATTTGGATTAATCATTACATAAATGAATGTGTTTATCTCAACTTAGTTTATTTTATTTATAAATGTCAAAATATGAACCTCTAACGTTTATTTAAAAGATCTAATTTCTTATTTCATTAAATCAACTAATAGTTGATACAAACTAAATCTTTAACAACGAATAAACAAGATTCAACTTATCGAGAAAGATGGTCAAATTTTAGAAAGTTATTGTATTATGTAGTTTTGATTACTTTATTTTTTTATTATAATATTTATTCGCTTTATTGATAAAGTCTTTTTATTTTCTGTTAATTTTATCAAATAAATGAATATAGATTTTTAAAATATATAAGATGACATGATATTTGCATATTTACATTTTTTTTATAGAAAATATTTTGAGTGTATATTTTATAAAATTAATTTAAGAGGAGAAAAAAAAAGTGAAATATAAATATTTTGATATTAATTTTGTTGTAAAAAAGGATCGGTGATGGAAGGTGATTAGTTATCGATGAACGTCAAAAAAGTATAGTATCAAAAAGTAAATTATTTAAAAATTTAATGGTAAAATCAATATATTTCTAAAATTTGATGTCTAAAACTACATTATTTTAGAAATCAATAGTCGTTATCTAAACAATATCATTTATTCCACATCAATAAAATGATCGAAAAGATCTGTTTATATCATTGTTGTTAAAATGAATAATCTGATTGTAAAGTTGAGGTTATAACCAAAATTTAATATTATAATTAAAGAAATTAAAAATTTAATAATATAAAGGATACATCTAAAGTTAAATAATTTCCGCATAGTTTATCCAATTTTAATAGTAAAAATTACACTCTTTAGATTTCCTTTCATGCCAACGTGGGAGTCTGTCTCTTGTCCGTAGACTATTGTAATTAACCGACTAATCTTAATGAGCATAACTCGTCACCCTCCTTCACTACACGTGAAAACAACGCACCAAATACAAAAACATTCACAACTAACGAGTATCATCCACGTGCTCAATGGAAACTTTGATTTAATCCTATCCGTTACCCTCTTCATTAAAAAAAAAGTCCCCACTCCCCCACTAATTTCCATGAAAAAGTAACTCAAATCTCAGGCACTCCCATGTTTAAATCCCACAAATCTCCTCTCTCTTCTCAATCAAGTTTTCTTAAACCCCAAAGTTTCTTCCTTTCTTTCTAATGATTTTTCTTCCTGTTTTTTTATTCTTGGATTTGAAATTAACCCATTTTAGCAGTAGTTTTATATTGTTTTTTTTATTCTTCAACTCCACCATGAATGCTCCCTTGCTTCTTTGACACCTTTTTCTTTGTTTTTATGTTATCTCTCTCTCTCTCTCTCTCTCTCTTTGTTGTTGCCCATCATTTAAAACTTAAACAAAACTGACCTACCAAGCAAAGGAAGCCAAAAGCACTCAACATGGTCCACCACCATTGGACATGAATACCATTTTGCTTGAAAAGCACACCTCTATATTCTTCTTTACACACCTTTAGCAATCAGCCCCCCTTTTTCCCTCTCTGGATTTTCATCAGTTTTCGAAAATATAAACAAATCCCAGATTTTATCTTCCTTTTAAAGATTCAAATGTGTAAAGTTCCGGTTCAACAAGACCATGAAACCATGCCAAGTTTCGATTTTTGCACAAGGTTCAAGCGTTTCAAACTCTTCGAGCCATCCGTGGGTGTTCTTGGCTTCTTCCTCGTTGCTGTCTGTGTGATTTGTTGCTTCTTTTACTTGGATTATAGAGCTGTGGCTAAAGGGTATAGGGTTCCTAATGAGAGTGAAAGATTCATGTGGCTTAAACTAGACGGGTCTTCTTCTTCTTCTTCTTCCCCTTCTTCAATAAGTGAGGTTAATAGAGTTGATTTCTTGAGCCTTGAAGGTCAAGGGTGTGACGTGTTTGATGGTGATTGGGTCTGGGATGAAAGTTACCCTCTTTACGAATCCAGAGATTGCAGCTTTCTTGATGAAGGCTTTAGGTGTACTGAAAATGGACGGCCAGATTTGTTCTACACCAAGTGGAGATGGCAGCCTAAGCATTGTAACCTCCCCAGGTTCCTATTTTTTCCTCCTTGATATGTATTATTTGAATGTATTAATCTTGTTGGTTTAGTGATAGGTACACTTCGATTCATACTTAATTTCACCTCTTAGCTTCTTGATTCGACTTCGAATATAATCGAATTCAAGTGATTATCGAACACGGGTTCATAGATAGGAAAAAGATATAGCATATGCCAAGCAAATTGATTTAGAAATGGTTGATGCTAGAGCCAATTTGGGTGTGGTATCCCGTGATTTTTGATAAAGTTTGTCTTTTTCATGTCAATGTCACCAATTGTTCATTTCTGTTCCATTCATGTAATTTTGTGCTGTAGATAAGCCTCAATTGTGGACTTGAAGCTTCTTTTTTCAAACAATGAAGGCAACTTGCTTTCTCTTTTGTAGTACTTGTATTTGGTTTCATATGTAAAGCCTTTTTTCTATTACTAGAAGGGATTCTTATTCTCTGTTTCTCTTGGTATATGCCAAAAAATACTTCGATTTCACTGTTAATTGCCGTGTCACATTCGACTTACCTTCCATCAGTATTTGGTTTATGTGTTGTTTGCATTGTCAAACAGATTTGATGGAAAAGTGATGTTGGAGAAGTTGCGGAACAAGCGGTTGGTGTTTGTCGGCGATTCGATAGGAAGGAACCAATGGGAATCACTCCTCTGCATGCTTGCTTCTGCGGTTGATGATAAAGATTCAATATACGAAGTGAATGGAAATCCGATTACAAAGCATAAAGGGTTCTTGGTATTCAAGTTCAAGGATCATAATTGCACTGTGGAGTACTACCGGTCTCCGTTCCTCGTCTTACAAAGCAGGCCGCCCGCCGGGTCTCCTCAAAACATCAAGACAACCCTTAAGTTGGATCAAATGGATTGGAGTTCTATTAGGTGGAAAGATGCCGATTTCTTGGTCTTCAATACTGGCCATTGGTGGAATTACGAGAAGACTGTTAGAGCGTAAACTCTCTTCTTTCCATCTTGTCTTTATATTGTTATATAATGGGGATAAGCTTATGAATGATAACTTGCTTATGGTGGATGCCTAACATATGGATCACCGTAGCTGTACGTTTCGTAGATTAGGATAAACTCGATATTCTGAATGGGAATTTTAGGGTTTTAATTAAATGATACTGCATGGTATAGTGACAGCTCAACAACTTTGCTTTTGAAAAGAGCTTAATCTTTTTTTCTTCTTTATTTTTGGTGTTCCACATTGGATGATGATTTGCACAGCATTGCTTTAGTGCTTGCATGTATGAAATCTGCTTCTATCTTAGTAGGGTCGTTATGGCCCCAGTCGCAACTATCGGAGAAGGTAAATTTCAAATATGGTGGCATGAATGCAAGCGTGTGTTAGTTGTAAATGATATTCTAACATTCAACAACAATGGCCCCTACACCATCTCATTTATTGATTTGGGTTGCATATAAGTTCAATGTATGTATTTTTGGTTCGGGTTTTGTTTCTTACACGATACAAACAAGGGAGGAATAGTATGAAGGAGAAGATCGATTGTGAATCGAAACCGAGAGTTGGTGTTTGCAGTAGTCATATATTCATGTATGCTTGATGTAATAGGTGGAAGGAATGAACTACCTTAATCTGGTGTTAAATTTTTTCCGTTTGTGCTGGTCAGGGGATGTTACTTTCAAGAAGGGAAAAAGATCAAAACCGAGATGACCGTAGAACAAGCATATCGAAGGTCTTTACAGACTGTGATGGAGTGGATACGTAACGAGGTGAACACAAGTAAGACCGAGGTCTACTTTCGCACATTCGCTCCCGTACATTTCAGGTTCGTTTTTTTTTTAATTTATCTGCATGCTTGGTTAGACCTCTGCATATCCATAGTGAAAATTTTCTACGACGTTTGCAGGGGAGGAGATTGGAATACTGGGGGAAGTTGCCACCTCGAGACACTGCCAGAGCTTAGAGTATCATTGGTGCCAACGGAAACATGGGAACTTCTCGATATAGTAAAGGAGGTGTTATCAACTCACTCGAATGCATCTAACGGAACAAAACTCGACATATTAAATGTTACTCAAATGACAGCTCCAAGGAAGGACGGTCATGCATCGCTGTATTATTTAGGTCCCAAGGAAAGCCCCGCTCCGATTCATCGGCAGGACTGCAGTCATTGGTGCCTACCCGGAGTACCCGACACATGGAACGAGCTATTCTATGCAGTGTTCCTTAAGCATTCTAGTAATCAGGCATCCAACTCATCGACATACAAAGCAAAGGTGTGATCCATTGTTGAAGACACTAATTTATACACCAACTATACAAAAGAATTTTTGGCATTGGATCATGGTCTAATCATTTTGGTAATGTTAGATTATGAAGGAGAAATGGAAAACTCTTTTTAGATAGTTGATATTGATCGAAGAACTAATTTTGGAGGATAAATGTGTAATTATCATTTTTTTTCTTTTTAACAGCTGCATATTAAATAAATAAAGATTTAATATTTTTTGTTTAACCATCTATATTCAATTTATTGTTTGATTAATAAAAAATTGATCTAAAAATTTTAATCATTTAATACCTGGTGAGCACTACAAATGGTCCCATGCCTTTGAGATATTTGGAGTTTTGGGTGCCATGATCATGACAGCTGAATAGAAGTTCTTAGAGTATTGTATGAAAAAAAAGTTTCTTGATTTTGAAATCTCTTAACTTTCGAATTAAAATTGAGATAGTAAAACAAATATATATTTGTCCGTTTCGAGTACGAGCAGTTATATTTATAGATTGTTTATATGATATTAATGATTACTTTTTTTAAATATATATTATCTTATAATTATTTAAAATACAGACTGTTTTTTAAAAGAATTATACTACAAAATGAGAGTAAAGCTTTGCCAAAGAAAAGTGAAATTGAAGCACTGTCATGTGCTCTTTTAAGCTTTTAAAATAATAGAAAAATAAGGGTAAACTATATTTTTATTATTTAACTTTGATTGTATTTCTGTTTTAATCACTAAACTTTAAGAATTCCAATTTAATAACTAAAATTTAACATTATTATCTTTTTTTTACTTGTTAAATAATGAACGTGTGTTAGTATGTTATTTATTTTTTAAAAATTTATGAAGAGATTCTAAAACATTTATTTACGTTTGTGAAAATACTCCTGAAATCTTCCCTCACAAATTTTGTAACATAATTTTTTGATTTTCTTTAGTTTTTCAGCGAAAAAAGTATCTTCTTTTAAATATCAATGATATAGATGTAAAGAAAAATGAGACGAACATTATATATTGGTCCTATGATAATTAGACGATAGATATTATAAATTAGAATCGATTTTCTTTAATTTTTTTGTTGAAGTTTAGTTAATTTTAAATATATTTTGAGAAAATTAAATCAATAGAATAATAGGAAATAAAAAAATAAATTTGTCGATGTTTAAAGTGATTTAAAAATATATCAAAGAATAATAATTTCGACAACAATGTGAGATTAGAATAAAACTTTAAACGTTTTAACGTTGTTGAAAAAAGAAATGTAAGCAAGACGTGACTTTAACGTCAACAAAAAAAACAAACCAGGTCAGCATAAAACATGATAAATTATCCTCTTATTTTTAATTTAACACGAGTGATTAAAAAAATAATATCAAAATTAAATAATCAAATTAAAAAATTTAAAGTTTAGTGATCTAAAAAAGAGCATAGTTAAAGTTGATCGATGAAAATTATAATTTAATTAAATACGTTAAAAATGTGTTTTTAAATAATTAAAAAAATTATAAACGGATATTAACTTTTAATAATTGAGTATTAAAAAGATTTGAACGGGTGCAGTTTGAAAATTCGATTGTGATCTGTCGGTCCCTCTTTGGTCACACCACGTCTTCAGAAAAGCTGTTTCCTGTCAGACAAAACTACTCCCCGTCTCGATATCTCATCAGCATCAAGCAATGGCATTCTCGAATATCTCTCTTCTATTCCCATTGTTCCTTTCCATTCTCTTCATCAGTTCCCGTCTTTTGTGACACTGGTAAACCTTCCTTTGAGCTTCTGGATCTGGGTTTTTGCTTTGTTGGTTGACCACTAACATTGCTGATTTCTCTGAAATCTCTGTTATTTGTCCTTGTTAACTAGTTTTTCAATGTGGGTATTATTATTATTTTTAATTTCTTTATGTATGGTTATTGAATGTAGATTTTTTGCTTTTATATTCCTAGTTATGAACCTATTTCAAACTCATTTGGATGCATCTTTATAGAAGATATAGATAATTTGTCTAATTATGAACCTAAGATGTGTTTCAAATGATGTTCTGTTGTAACAATTTTGTTTTTGTTGTTTGAAGATCATGATGGATAGTTGCAATTCATCCTGCATGACACTGTTCCTAGTTCCTTACTCTTGTTTGAGGATCATGGATAGTTGCAATTCTTCGTGCTCGACATTATTCCTAGTTCCTTACTCTTGATTGGATTGAAGCATGGAATCAGATGATGACTTGATCTACCGATGTCGAATAAATCCGGCAATAAACTTGTTAGAATCTCACTAGTCTTACGATTAGGGTTATCTTAGTCTCTTAAATAAGATCGAGGTAATAGGTTCAAGTCTTGACATTCAAAGCTTGGTTTGAAGATCAAGCTAATGAATTCAGATCCAGAGATGCTGTAACGCCGTTTTGATATCTTCGATTGATGAGAAAACGAGCACAATTTGATTAGAACAACCATGAGCTAGTTAGCAACGTCTTGGTAGCTTTCATGTTTTGTTTGAAACTGGAATATGTTAAGCTTACGAGTTGCAGATGGTGCCACTGGGTCACCGGAAAACACGTGTCAATTGATGAAGTCTTATCTCGTGAAGAACCTATATATGGAACAAGTCGAAAGGAGCGCCTAACCTTAGCCTTGTTAAGGAGAGAGAGCCTTAAACCTTTATAACTGGAGTGAAATTCTGTCCAAGTAGCATTGTGTATCTGCTTTGAGATTTTTCAGCCTGCATCGTTGTTGACTTCGCCCTATCAGAATTAGGATCACACGAACTAACAAAATTGAGCTAGTTGGGGTTTCATAAAGGCCCTGCTTGATGGAACTAGAGGAGATATCCCATATCAAACTTGTTATTTTGACATGATTCTTGTATGGTAGATTCTTCCGAAGGTGGTTGTGCTATTACTATTCTCTAGATTACCATCTCTTGATTTGGGTACGCCTATGTTGCTCAGCCATATTACTAGAATTCGAATTTGATATTGTCAGTCTGGCACTTTCCTCCCCGAACTAGAGGCTTTTGTGTCCCTCTCCGACTGCAGAAAGCAGTTTCCGGTTCCTGTATTCTGAAATGTCTTTCATGCGAGAAATTTTTATGAAGTTGAATAACTTGTGTTTAATAAGAAGTGTTTTTCTTTGATACTGTTAGATGGTTGATTAGGATCGGCTAGTTAAGCAAGAATCCAGGACAATCTAGCCTCGTTACGGATTAATTGGTTGACTTCTGAGTAACTTCATGAGTTGCATTGTCTTTCTTACATTTAGTTCAAAAAGAATGGAATTTGTTCTTTTGCAGAGAATTTGTTTTCGGAATGAAGATATTTTGTTAGCATCTCTGATACGTATCTAATCACTGGATTTCATCTCGACAATCAACAGATGAGGAAGATGATCTTAAAGGCATCAACAGCTACCGGGCTTCATTAAACTTGACTACACTAACAAAAAACGTGAACGCCGAGTGCCTTGCTGATGAATTCAAGAACCAACCTTGCACAAACTCCACAGGTGCCAACACGGTTCCAGGCACTGAACCACAGTTTGCCAACTACCCAAACCTCCTAGCCAAATGCCGTTTGAACGTCTCTGTCACAAGGGACGGAGCAGTAATGCCTGCCTGCATTCCCAACCTGGTTCCGAGCCTTGTGCTTAGTAATTTTACACAGTCCCAGTACTCCGACAATCTCAATGAAACCAAGTATACAAGCATCGGGATCGGCTCCAAAGGAGACTGGATCGTTGTTGTTCTGACAACCAGCACAGCTGAAGGAAACTATGCTACAGCTACTTCTACTACTAGTGTGGCTAGTTCAGTTTCCCAGATGAGCGTAATTTATCACCTGCTATTCCTCATCGTGATCGCTTTCTACTTGTTATGAGTAGCAACAATCTTTTGTTATTGATTTGAAGAGGGTTACAACTTACAAATGCACTTTCTTTGGTGTTTGTTATGTGATGGCATTTATATTTCCATTAAACAATAAAATTGCTACATGATATTATACTACGCAGCAATACTCTAGCAAAAATATATATCTTAAACCATTGTATCGTATAGAACAGACTTAGAGTTGTTGCACAACATGAATCTGCCCAAATTCTTCCTCAAGGCAGATGCATCTAGAAGATCCTTTACTAAGCACTCATTTTTTCGGGTACATTATGTATCGGGAAGGGGATGATATTATCAAGACTTGAATCTCTAACTTTTGCTTCTTTGGGTTGTCATTAAGCACTCTTTAATCAAGGTTGGATTGTAAAAAGATACCTTCGAAGAGCAAGCAATAGGACCCATGTCGTCTTCGAGATTTTCTCCTTTATCATTAGAAGCAATGCCGAGCTTAGAACGGTCTTCAAGATCTGTGCTTCTATTCCTTTGTAAAAACCCAAAAGCCCTTCCCTTTTCCATATCGAATAGAGCGCCCCAGTAACCATCTTAAGTAGTCTTTGTTTCAATTGATCAAATGCAGTATACTGCAGAAAATACAAAATTGTAATGCCATACTCATATCCAACTCGCAATGTTAGGAATCCGAGGATGCAAAGATGTTCCCATCAACTCGAAACAAAATTACAAACTAAAACAATACAGTTTCCAGGATCTCGAAATCGATCAACAATTCAACTACACTCCACATACTTGCTATTAGTACCTGAATAGATGGATTCGTAGTGAGGAGAAGAGATATGTCGAGAGCATCAAATGCTTCACTCCAATAGCTCTCGGAAAGCGTCTTCCATAGTCCTTTAGACTTGCCGAATTCACTTGTCTGCATTCTTGAGGCTGCTGTATCCTGGGGCTGAGATAACAGGCAACAATAACACAAAAACGGAATGTTCATTTCGAAAGGCGCGGTTAGGGAACAGAACTGCATGGAATTAAGAACTTTCCCATTCATTGTAGCAAAATAATCTACTCCATTTTCCAACTAAACAAATGTCAAATGAAATTCGGGTTTCGATTTCCAAAAAGAAAGAATTGGATGCAATATTTAACCCCATCTAATATCTGAACAAGATTCATAACCAGTTCTACTAATGAATCTAACAACACAAAGATCTTAAATGGCTCGCGATCATAAAATACATACATATATATATATAATCAAAACATCAGTACCTGTGTAATTATCACAGTACATGCCCCAGCAGCAACACCAACAATCAAGTTTGCTTTAGTACCAATAGTCTTGTTTCCAGTTTTATCCAAGTACAGCCTCTTAAAGAAGCTGTATCCATAAAAATAGATGAACTGTGAAATAAAAGACTGCAAATTTTTGGTCCCAAGACCTTGGTACAATGAAAGAACTTGACCGTTAGCTATTGCTTCCCACAGAACAGCTGAAGTGTTCCTGCATGAACCAATGCATCCATCAACACTGATAAAAAATAAAATAAAATCGCTGATTCTCAAACACGTTTAAATCATTTCAAAAGGTTCATTATGAGAGACCAGCAGACAAAATTTCTTAAATTTATCAAAAACAGAACCTACTAAACCACTAATTCTCCAAGAAATTCACAGACAACCATAAAGCAGACAACTTTAAATGAAAAAAAGGGAAAAAGGGTAGTAAACAAAAATATCTAAAAACTTCAAGTGGGACCCGAAACAAGAAACAAAAGTCTAGACATTTTTTGGACCTGTATTTTTGTTGATGGTGAGCTCTAACTTCAGCTTGATACTTGGTTTTACAAGTATCAAGAGGGTACAAAATGGAGGTGCTAACCAGAGCTCCAATGGCTCCTGATGCTGCCTCTGCTAAAGACCCAAGATCAAACGCCATCTTTAGCTTATATTCTTAGCACCAAAATTCTACAGTTCTGTAGAAAAAAGTTTATCCAATATTTTGGGTATGGATTAATGAAGAGGTTGAGTTGTAGAAACGTAAAAGAAAAGTTCTGAGAAATTGAAAGCAAATTCTGGGAGTCTGGGACTACTCTTTTTTTTCGAGTTTTTGTCGTTTAATTGGGATGGAATCTGCGCTTACGCCATCTTTGAGCCCTTCTGCTGTATTGGGATGGAACTGGATAGATTAACCACATGGTGTCGGTCGAATGGCCTGTTTTGGACCTTTTGGGAGGGTTTTTTAGGGTGAACCGTATATTTAGTAAATCAATTATTTGTCGGCTCCAATTTGATCACTCTGCTATACTTTTTAAAATCATATTTAATATTCTATTTTTATTTTATTTTGATCATATGTCATTAAAAAATTTAACATAATTGTTTATAGATTTTTTTAATAATCATGCAACATTATCTTATAATGATATGTCAGTATCACCGTTAATTTTTTCAACAACGAATGACTAAAATAAAACTAAAACGTAACGTTAGATATTTTAAAAATAATTACAAATAGTTATTATCAGTTGAGTGGTCAAAACATAACCGTACAAATAGTTAGATGACTAAATACTTGGTTTACTCCTTTTTTTATTGAAAAACGTAGAGAAATTTGGTCAAATTTTATTATTAGTCCTTATATTATATTATTAGTTCTTATATTATACTTATGTTATGGATTTAGTTCAGACACTCCAATTTAATTTTTAATATAAAAATAATTACAAAACATGTAAATTTGAAAAAAATATAAATAATTTTATTAATATAAAATTAGACATTTATAATTTTTTATTTGTGGTTGGAATTATGGAGACTCTCTGGGCGATCGTTAGTTGGACTAATGGGTCCTCATTTTCTCTCCCCCTCTCCTAATTGTTTCTTCGCTTTGGCTTTCCATTGCTTTTCTGGTTCGTTTATTGGATTTATTGCATGGATTCTTCATCGTCGGGGTTGGATTGGAGGAAATTGTTTGTGGGTTCGAATGAGCAAGCTCTTGAATTCTTTCCCCCGGATTTTCAGGATGGTATTACAACTGTTAAACCTCCTTCTGAGGTCTTTGAAGAAGGAATTGCTTACTGAAATCTTGCGCTTGTGGGGTAGTTTATTGGTATGGCTCCTAGTTTCGGCTCGATGCAACGTGTCATTGAATCGATTTGGGGGAAATCGACGCGAGTGAATGTTAGTTTGGCTGGCCCTAACCTTTATGTTTTCCTATTTTCGAACTCTGATTTGAGGGAATGGGTTCTGGATAACGAACCCTGGCACATTCAGAACAAGCCTCTTGTTATGAGGAAATGGCAACCTGGTCTGCAAAATCTTAATTTTGACCTCTCCCGTGTCCCTATGAGGTTGAGGTTGGCAGAGTTATCCCATATATAATTCATGTGCTTCTTAGTAATGGCTCTTCAGTGAGGATTAGAGTGCAGGTGCCTTGGGTTCCTAAGTGTTGTGATAAATGTAAGGTTTTTGGGCATTAGGCTATGTCATGTACTGCTGCTGGGCAAACTTTTGTGAAACCCAAAGATGTTAAAATTTGGAGGAAAAAGGTTTCTGATAATAAGGTTAGCTCTTCTGGAATTAATCAAAAGGAGCTGCCTGAACTTTCCTCTGTTCTGCCTGCAAATGCCTTTCTTTCCACTGATATCCCTTGCAACTCTAAGGGAGATTTCTCTCTGGGGGATGATTGTATTATCAGTGATAGGATGACGAGGAATGAATTACAGGTTGGTTTTGCTATTGAAGCATCTGTGCAATCCTTGCAAGATCATAGTGATGCTATGGACAAGGCTACCATGCAACAAACTGTTAACCCTTATGTGAATCAATCTGCAGCCACAACAGTTGCTGATATGACACAGAAGGAGATTGTTTCCAATCAGTGTGTCAGTGAACTTGTTGCTGAGGATTCTGGGTTAACTGCTACCCAGGAGGATGCTAAGTCTGGTGAATTTCCCTCTCTTCAAGATTCCATGAAAAAGAAGCCTAGAGGAAGGAAAAAAGATGTTACTGGTTCTTCTGGCAAGGCTGAAGTCTTGGTTGATGGTCCTAGGAAGGCTCGTGCTGCCTCTGTTGGAGTGGTTGTGCTCCTTAATGAGATTAAGGCTAAGAAAAATGACCATATGGACAAATCTAAGTGTGTTATGATTAATTCGAGCACTGGTTGTGGTGCTCCCACTGTTTCCTCCTGATGCTGGTAAGTTTTTGGAATGTCAGGGGGATCAATAACCCCCTGAAGCAGCTGAAGGTGGTTAGGAGATTGGATGCTCTTGAGGTTGACATTATATGTCTTATGGAGTCTCGGATCATGAGAGATAATTCTGCCAAGTTTATTTCCTCCTTTTCTGGTGATTGGAACATTGCTGATAATTATGTTGCTGTTGAAGGTGGTAGACTGTGGATTCTTTGGAAAAAAACATTTGTAACTTTCTATTTTGAGGGTTTGTGATCAGGCTATTACAGTAATTGGTACTGTTGGAGGGCATAGTACTGCTATTACTACTTTATATGGCAGTAATAATGGGGTGGTTAGAAGGAGGCTTTGGGACCACTTGAGGTGTGTTGAGAATGACTTTGGGTCTTCCTCATGGGTGATTGGAGGGGATTTTAACATTACTGCAAGAGCTGAGGAAAGTTCTGATTTCGATATTTTGGGTGTGCATTCTACCCCTGACATGAGGGATTTTCAGGAGTGCTTAGAGGACCTTGACTTGATTGATCACCCTTTTTTGGGGACCCTGTTCAGTTGTTCAAATAGGCATAAAGGGTTTTTTTTGGCTAGGAAGTTAGACATGATTTTAGTTAATCCCCAATGGTTGCTAAACTTTCCTGAATCCTTTGCTGAGTTTAAGGCTCAAGGTGCTTCTGATCACTGCCTTGGGTTACTATGGTCACACAAAGGAGCTTTGGCTAAGAAACCTAGGCCTTTTAAGTTCTTCAACTGCTGGACAGCTCATGAGGAATTTTTTAGGGTTGTAAAGGAATCTTGGCAAGTACACTGTGCATGTACTGCTATGCAGTGTTTGTTCAATAAGCTTAGAAGACTGAAGCCTTGCCTTAAAGATTTTAACAAGGTCCACTTCTCTGACATTTATGGCAGAGTCAGAAGCAAGAGAGCTGAGCTAGAACAGATTCAAGTGTTTAACTTGTCTCATGTTGAGCAGAGGAGAGTGGAGGAGGAAATGAGTATCCATGCTGCTTTGGTGGATCTGGAAGTGGCTGAATCAGAGTTTTATAGGCAGAGAGCCAAGATACACTGGTTAAAAGAGGGAGACCTAAATACCAGGTTTTTGTCACCAAAGAGTTGAAGTTAATAAAAAGAGAAATACAATTAGGATTATTAAGGGTGAGGATGGGCAGTGTTATGAATCTTTTGGTGATATGGCTAAGGAATTAGTGAATTACTTAACTAATATAATTGGTTATGTTGACCCATTAGTTAGTGGCAACACTGTTGAAAGTTTAAAGGGGTTGCTGAATTTTTCTTTGCCTGTTGAGGCAGCTAATTGCCTTACTAAAGAAGTGGATGATGTGGAGATAAAAAATGCCCTGTTCAGACAAGGGAAGGATAAAAGTCCTGGCCCTGATGGATTTACTTCTGGATTTTTTAAAGCTGCCTGGGACATTGTTGGGGCTGATTTTGTATCTGCTGTCAGGTACTTTTTTTCATTCCTCCTGTTTACTGCCAGCCTTCAATGCTACAACTTTAGTGTTGGTCCCTAAATCCCCTAATGCTTGCTTAGCAAAAGATTTTAAGCCTATTTCTTGTTGTTCAGTGGTTTATAAAACCATTACAAGAATCCTTGTAAATAGACTAGTTCCCTTTTTCCCTGCTATGATCTCACAAAGTCAATCAACATTTGTTAAGGGTAGAAATATTGTGGATAATACCTTGCTAGCCCAAGAGATTGTCAAAGGCTACTCTAGGAAAAGTCTTTCTCCTAGGTGTGCTATTAAAATTGATTTACAAAAGGCCTTTGATTCTGTTAATTGGGAATTTTTGTTGACTGTTCTTAAGACCTTGGGGCTGCCTGCTATTTTTTGTAATTGGATCAAGATCTGTATTACTACTCCTCTGTACTCTGTCTCCTTAAATGGTAGTTTGATGGGGTTCTTCAAGGGTGAAAGGGGGATTAGGCAGTGAGATCCCTTATCTCCCTATCTATTTGTCATTGCTATGAATGTCTTGTCTTCCCTCTTGGACACTGCTGCAAAGAAGAGAATTTTCAAATTCCATCCAAAATGCAAGAGAATTTCCCTCACACACCTTTGCTTTGCAGATGATTTGTTAGTTTTTTTGCAATGGTTTTGTTGATGCTTTTTTGGGAGTTCAAAGTACTTTAGAGAAGTTTTATGAGCTGTCAGGACTTAAGCTTAATGCTCAGAAAACTGAATTCTTTGCTTGTGGTCTGAATGAGCACACTGTTGAACAAATTTGTAGGGTTACTGGATTTAGGTTGGGATAACTCCCTGTTAGATACCTTGGGGTACCTTTGGTGACCAGAAAATTAACTGGCAATGACTGTGCTGCCTTGTTGACTAGGATTAGAGACAAGCTTAGTCAATAGTCTAACAGAAAACTCAGCTTTGGTGGTAGGCTGCAGTTAGTTAAAACTGTTATGTTCAGCATGTTTAACTACTGGAGTAGACAACTAATTTTTCCCAAGGGGGGTTATTAGGGATATTGATAAGCTGTGTATGCGTTTCTTTTGAAAGGGCAGTGACTCTCCTGCCAAGGGCGCCCGTGTGGGCTGGAGCCAGATATGTACCCTGAAGTCGAAAGGTAGTCTGGGGCTTAAGATCCTTGTGGACTGGAGCAGGGCTTGTTGCTAGTCCGGAATATCCTGGTGAATAATGGATCTCTCTGGATTGCATGGATTAAGGAGTATTGTTTCAAGTCAGCGAGTTATTGGGAGGTTGTTTGCAAGCCACACTTCAGTTGGATCTTAAGTAAGTTGCTTAGACTGAAAGAGGAAGCTCGGACTCTGTTTCTCCCTTATGCTAACTGGAGCATTATAACTGGTAAGTGGATTTGGGACAATATTTGGGTCAGTAGGGAGAAAGTTACTTGGCATAAGCTTATTTGGTTCCCTACTCACATTCCCAAATTTTCGTTAATTTCTTGGATGGTCATCCTTGATAGGCTTTCTACCAAGGATAGAC